CTTTCCAGTTTTTATCTTTACATTATGTATGTGTTCAGACATATTGTAAAGTGGGATCATGATGATGATTCCCCTACAGCAGTCACTTAGTTATTTATGCACCCTGTCACAAGATTGTTTTACACAAATGGAAGCCTCAGTTGTGAAGTTTTACATATAGCATGTAGCACAGCAGTAGATATTTTGCATAAAAATGTATATGAAGTATTTTCTAGGTGAATCTTAATGTATTCCTAAAAATAATACACTGTGTGGTATGATATACATGTATAATAATATAAATCTTTCTTTGAAAGGACTTGACTTCTGTTTTCCAAAGGCAAAAATGTATGCTTCTTTATCATGTCAAAAAGTAAATTTTAGCTTTTTTTTCTGACTTGCAGACAAATTTCTCTCAAGGATCAAGTGGTAGTTCTCAGCACAATCTAAATGGGTTGATGATGATACATGGGATCCACTTACAGCAAAGGAATCTGCCTTTAATGGACAAAATATTGTAAGACTAGTAGCTTTTTGTCTTTGTAGAAATGTAGAAAACCAAAGGTCCCAAATGCTAAAGAAGAAAAGTAGTGGAGATCTTCTGAAGTTTTGAATGCTGATTCAGAAAGCTGTTTAAGCATGTGCGTAAGTGTGTAAGGTGATGTGAAAATTCATTGAAGTTGATCATGTGCTTAAGTTAGGCACTTGCTTATGTACATTGCTTAATCAGTACCCAGGTCTGTTTAATTTACTATAATTTCTTAGGAGAAGAAAAAAAGATGAAGTATTGATGGTATTTTTAATGTTGTGACTGGATGTTCATATAAAAACAGTTTGGCTAGAGAGAGAACTTTGTGGGGAGGGAATATGCTATAGCGTTTTCTTCTCTTCTTGCAGTTCTACCACTGTACCACTAGCAAGCATCTTTCATTTCTTGTATCTCTCTCTAAGAATGGCCTATCTTGCCAAACAGTGCGAATTATGTGGTAGATCTGTGATGTGCAATAGATGAAATGAGAGCACTAAACATCCATTTTTGACCTAAACATGGTTTTAACTTGGTCTACAGAGGAAAAAATTAGTGGCGTCTCTCTCTCTCTCTCTACCAGCCTACCTACCTTAGCTACCTAACCCCAAGGTGTTAAGAACTTTTTGTTTATTATTACAATTGGTTTGTCACTTCAAGAGCTGGTGTCTACATCACAGCTGACACTAACTGGCATCCTCACTGTCATTCATCAGGAGATCAAGGTATGAATGTGCCTGAATGTGAAAACTAAATTGTCTTTCATCCCTGGAGATTAATCTTTTAAGTCTGAACTAACGCAGGCCAGGAGGGTGAGAAACTACTGCTGTCTGTGTTGTTTCTGTATGTAGCCTGTGAATAATAACAATAATGCTTATATTTCTAGTATCTTCAGTCTGAACATTTCAGGATTATTAAGAATAAAGTCCAGTTTCTTTCTTACCCTATCCCTTTGTAGCATAGGCAGTAGCCTATTATTCAATGGTACAAAAGGTTTACCAGCTGCATTGATATATTATGTTATCGTTGTATGTGATGTAGTGTGTCATAATGATCACATTTATATATGTTTCATTTTGATTCTATGATTCTGTTAGAGATATGGATGACAAACCACTTCTGAGGCCAGGCTCCAGTTCCCTTCTCTCAGCCAGAAGTCGACCAAATCACCCTCTAGAGCTCAGTACATCATCTCTATCATATTCTGCTCATTCCACTAGAAGGCGAAACCCACCACCACGCACTCTGCATCCTATCAGCACTAACTATTCTCGCTCTGGAACACCAAGATCCGTAGACAGTGTCATCAAAGGAACACGATTGTATGTTTAAAAAACAGTTTCTTGTCTTCAAGTTATCAGGTTTTTTGAACCAAGTCTGTGTAAAAATGGAACAAAAAAGGGTGAATGGAGAGAAAGCGTATGATTCTTTCTAATCCAAGCATAGTCCCCTGAGAGAGCTGAAATGACTCGTTTTGTTAAAATTGACCAAATATTTTTACTGTGCAACAACTCATGCTTTTATAAATTGCCTGAGCCAGTGTCGCTCAAGCAGCATGCTGAGGTGCCTTGAGATCCTTTCTAGGATGCTGTGAGGTGCTGCACAATGTTAGCGCTGTTTGGTACGCAAACACGATTCACCTAAGATAAACCTAGAGATTTCAATAGGAATCCATGATGTTAAAACCATTTTGATCTGTTGTGGTCCAGGTTCTTTGCAACAGAAGAATTACTCTGGTTTTTTTTTTGTTTTTTTGTAGTAAAAAAACAAGTGAAAAGTGAGAGCTGTCATTTTCTGAGGGCCTCAAGCTTGTCAAGGAATGACTTGAATCTAAAAAGGTTGAGAACCACTGGTGTAAGCAATTGTGCAGTTCTGTTTAAGGGAAACTACATCTGTCCGTGCTGTCTAACAACTGCAGAGCAGACTTCATTTCATTAATGTCTGTCTCAGATTGTACATTTTCACAAGGAACTCCCCCAGTGACAGCCAGTTCCTGTGGATATCCTGTTGGTGCCATGCCCCACCAGTATAGATGTTGATGAACACCATGTTGTGTTTGATGTTCAGTGATCCTTTTTCAGAGCTTATTTTAAAGACAGACTTAAAATAATGTCTGGTCTCCTTTTTGTACTTAACTATCTCTTCCTACAGCTGACCCAGACTAAATTGTAGAGAACATGCTTATCTTAGAGACCCCCCTCTAAATCTGACTGAAGCTAATGGAAAGGCTCTTCTTGACCCCTATGACCTTTGGATTATGTCCAGAATTGTAATGTTTTCCTATAATATGGCTACATCCAAATGAGGCTTTTATACTTTTCCAGCCAGCACTTAGAAGAGCAGCTAGATTACACACTTCCCTGGAGTGTAAGCATCTAGTGCTGGATATACAAATGCCTTGTTCTGAGAAGCCACGGAAAAATACCAAAAATCTCTAGTTGATCTCTGATGTTTTTGCGTCTTGTGACACACCAAAACGATATAGTCTGAGAGCATTACTAGTAAACTTGGAAGAGTCACTGAAGTTCACAAACACTAAAAATCTTCAGTTTGCAAAAGTGAATCAAAGGATTTTGTGTTGAACAACCCCCAGAGCCAGCTTACTGGCAGTGTTTTGTATGTAATTCTGACAGTGACGTGACCTTTTCTTTTAACTTTGAAGCACCTTTAAGAATAGTTTTATTTTTTCAAAAATTGATCCAGTCTATCTTCAGTAAATTCTTTTTTTCAAATGTTGTTCCCGTTGTAGATTATCTTTCTGTATTCAATTTTTGATAATATTTCTCTTCACTGTTCTTAATCTTGTATTTCTTAAAATATTCCTTTTATTCTTGGCATATGTACTAAATGCATGTAGTGGGCTCCTAGGAGAGGCTTTTTAATGTGTTGGTTATGCTTTCAAATTCTTTTAATGCATCATTCCAGAATGACCTTTTGACCTATCCCATAGCCATACATATGTAATAACATCTCAAACACTTGTCTCACAAGCATGGCCTGCTCATGTAGAAGGCAGCTATAAATTGTAGTGCAGCATTTTTAAAGTAGAATTCTTATAACTTGTTCTTATAATTCTATTTTTGATCAGTATATTCTAGTTGGAAAAACTTTTTGAACTTTTAAGTCATCACATATTCCTTCTATAGGGAGATTTTTAGATACCTTTCAGATAAGCTGCAGATTTCTAATGCCAAATTTTGTATCTATATTTTATGCCTTTTTATTCAAATTTTGAATGTGTGGGTTTGGGGGGCGGGATTTCTGTGTTGAAGAAGAATGCATTCTGGAAAAATGCAGCTGGCCAGTGAAACTTTGCACCTAATTAAGATGCCACATTTGCCGGGTTAGCAAGAACCAGTAATGCAGCTGGACAATTAATGGAATTTTGGTTTAAGATCTCAAATTATTAATAAAGTGCAGGTAGACTTGCACATTACAAGTAAATATACAGGGTGTCTCAAAAAGATGTATTTATTTGTTTTGCTTAGTTGTTTGCTACCATAACAAGTGTCTGTATTTCAGGGATGAACATTTTAAACATCTATAGTAGTGTACATTGTAAGTTATTCCTCTTGCTTTCTAAGGAAACAAGTATCAGCACTCTCAATCAATATATCTCTATATTACTGATGACTATTTTGTGTACGTGATTTTTGGGATACCTTGTGTGTTACAACAGAATAGTTTAAAGTACTTCCCTTTTTGCTTTCTTGTCAAACTTAGATTGGGTATCGTCTTTGCAATAGTTGTTAATTAATCATAATTCATACTGAAAGGAGGGCATGAAATGCTATGCCCAGTCTTGTTTCAGATGTTACTGATCCCAACAAATGTTTTAGAGAAATACTGAACTCAAGCTAAAGAACTTTTTAATTCTACTCTTCCACTCTTTCTGTGAAGTTCTGAAACTGAAATTATGACATCACAAATAATAATTTAAATCAGGAAGAGAAGTTGAGCTCTGAGGAATAAAATCTTTTGCTAAAATACACATTTTAGTAGCATCTCTGTAAAGTTTAAAAAATATATATTTTGTAATAAAGGCTGTAATATGTAGGCCCCCTCAAAAAAGAACATTTAGCTCCAATTTGGCCCTCTCAAGACACTTTTCATTAGTTTAGCATCATTAGTTTGGTGTTTGTCACCCCTTCTGGGGCTTGCTGGGCAAAGTGACAGAGATGCTATTCAGAAATGGTCAGTATAAATAGGCCAGTTGCATGTAACTCAAAGAGGGAAGACATAATGAGATCCTGATGTGCTCTGGGCACAAAGTTTGGTAGCAGGGTAACTTTTACCAAGAATGCCAGGATTCTAGGGATGAAAGAGGGAGGGAGTTCAGCAGTACGTATTTGCAATGTATTTTTATCTGCCTCTGGTTGGATGAGCTGCTGCATTCTGAACCAATTGCAGCTTCTATAAATCTTCCATTTCCAGCCCCAACCAGAGAGCATAAAGTTAGCAGTTCATCCTTGAGGTAACAAAGACAGATCTATAAGATGCTTCTGGCTCCTGCTCTAGTTTCATTATTTGGGCACATTGTGGTTGGCAAGTTGCATAATTCCCAGACGATCAGTGGAGAGAAGTATCAACTTTTTCGATGGACAGTGGGTTATATACAATATATAGCCAATATATTTACTTATTTGCAACGAATCTGAATAGTTTTTCATCCATCTAGCTACTTCTTTTAGACACCGAAGTAGCTAGATGACATCATCTGCTTAAGGTGCAAACAATATGCATACCTGTACGTCACCAATATATTGCTGGCATTGGAGCCTAGCTTATACCATGTCATGTTCTTTGTAATTGAACATAGATATTGAACTGATTCTGTAGATTGAATATTGAAGGGATTCTGTATAAAGGGGTGTGGGGGAGATTTTGGTGAGTACAAACAGTTCTTCGCAGTTCTATGACAGCCTTGTCCTTGACTCTTGATTCCTCCATTGGGGGAATAGCAATATTTTTGCAATCATCTGCATTGAAGGAAATAAATAAATACAGCACAATTAATGTTTTGCCACTTTTCAAGGTATGAGATCATTCCTCAATATCTCAGTATCATACCTAGGTCTGTAACCTGTTTGGGAAGATTCTAAAGTACAGCTAGTAGGTAATTATCATACAATCATAGAAAATTAGGGTTGGAAGGGACCTCAGGAGGTCATCTAATAAGTCCGGCCCCCTGCTCAAAGCAGGATCATTCCCAACTAGATCATTCCAGCCAGGGCTTTGTCAAGCCAGGCCTTAAAAACCTCCAAGGATGGAGATTCCTCCACCTCCTAGTGAGAGTTTTTCCTAATATCTAATTAGGGCTGTTGGAGCTGGGCTACTATTACTTTTCCCATGACCTTGTTTAGGATTGTGGAAACTTGAGACTTTGTTTGGTTATTGATATTACTGGTGATGTATTGACCAGATCATACTATCTTAGAGTCTCTGGAGGGTTCTCCTAGATGGACACATTTACAATATGCACAAAAAGCAATGTTAAGACCACTAACAAGGCAACACTGACTACTAGCTAAGTTTTATAAAAATATTTTTTCCAGTTTAGTCCACTGTGGATCTTTATGCCTTTATGCCTAAGTCTCCTGTACCCAGTATAGCCTGACATCTTGCATTACAATTCAGCATATGTTATCACAAGTTTTATAATTTCATTTGCTTCAGCTTGTATCAGTTCTGTAAGCTCTGGCATTAATATATATTTTTTGTTTCTACTGGTCAGTTCTAGTCTTACTGCATATGACAAGCTGTCATCACCCTCCTCTGTGCCACTGAGCCGAAATAATGTCCTGCCGCCTATTGGTACTACTGATGTAGTGGAGCACCTGAGCACTGTGGGATCCCAAAAGCAAATGGTAATGTCCCAATTTGTATGTCAGATGAAAATGTTTTATTTTATTCTTTGGAAACAAGTTAGCATAAAATGTTGATTTTTGTCTTACTTGGCAAGCCCAAGAATCCTTTCTTGGATTTTGTTTCTGATTTATATTGTTATAGTTTGCCAGATTTATCTTGTTGAAGTTTTCTAAAAACATTCAGCATAATTATTATTATAATCAAGATAATGAAATACTGCAATACTAAAAATAAACTCTATGAATTTTGACCTGCACTGGGTCAGCGTTGAGTCCTTTAGGATCCAGTGACAGTGCAACTATTTTGTATTTTCTGTTAAATAACTCACAGATGATTAGGCTTTGTTTCCTTTTGATTAGACTTTTTATTTTCCTTTTCACTATCCAGCTGTAATAACTAATCTGACTGTTAATTTTCTTTTACTTTGCAGAAATCCCGAGGGACTTCCAGTCGCGCTCATAGCGCAGTAATAAATGAAGTTAACCAGCAGCCACAAGAGAGACTTTCCTTACCTGATAATTTCTCAAGGCCCAACACAACACATACATTTTGGGTAAAGTGGCAAATGTAACCAAATGGTGTCCACATCCAGAAAGATTGTTTGGTAGATTTCTGCTTTGACAGTTAGCACTGATAAACAGTTGAAGGAGAACTGGATGGCCCAAGTGAATGGTGACAGGAAAAGAGTCTGTAGTCCTTGCATTATCAATTCAGATCTTCCCAGCTTGGTAGAAAAAAAATGGCTCCTGTGAAATGAGAATCTGGACTCAGTTGGGTTTCTTACAGGTTTGGTGTCCTCACCATGAGAGTCCCCATGCTGGCTTCCAGTTGCAAGTGTACTCAGCTAGAGAAACTGTACTCTGCTCCTAGAAATATTTCTTCCACAGCAGGTTTGAGGTATACATTTAAAGAGAAAGTGGTACTGTCCCTGCTTGTGTTCGTTCAGAACTTATATATAGATACACTTTGACCTATAGCTAAATAAAATTTCAGTCTTCAGAGCTGTCAGTCAGGCACTTTTTATGAATCTTATGTTTGGAGGAGAAAAAGTGGTTTACACTGTTTTAGACTTAGACTTCTTGGGCCATCTACTTAACCTTCTAAATAGCTGTAGGATAATTCTCAGAATCTTCTTGAGCCGCTACACTTTTAATAGTTTCAGATCAGTTTTGTTGTTTGATGGAGCTTTATATAGCTTTTTCATTTACTGGGAGACGGTCTGTTTGATGTCTTGTCCCATCTTTTATATATATGAAAATACAACTTTCACTAGTTTTGAGTTATGCATCAGAGGTAATGTCCAGTTTCCAGTTATGGCTTGAGCTTTGTTGAATGACTAGCTGTGAAAACACCTTCCTAAGTCTGTTTTGAAATGTTCTACCTTCAGAAATTCTAAGACTGATGATACAGGCTTGTGAGGCTTCTAAGTAATGTAGGTAGGGGTAGACTAGGAATAGGCAGTGTCCTCTCTCCCATTTAAAGATACTGATTTGTTCCAAAGTATAAATCTTTTTTCCTCTTTGACCACTTCAGCATAAGTTGTGAACCTAGTGTTCTCCAGCACCAGGAAAAAAACATTGGTTTTAATTGAATTTTTGGTGTCTTTGTGACTAAACGATTTGTTAAAAACCTGTTATACAAATGACTAATATATAATTAATAATAACAAATATATTTTATCCTGCAGCCAGATCTGCAATACCAACGTTCTTGCACTATTATTGATTATACTAATCAACTCCGGACCACCAGAGGATCAGCAGGCCCAGGTACATCCAGAGCATCAGTTCATTTTTAGTGAAAACACAGGGACCATTTGAGAGGCAATTTTTTTTTGTGTGGGGAGGGAACTGAAAGATCTTAATTGTATATAATCAATCCCCTTTTCAACTACAAAGTCATTCTTTGTCCTAAGCTGCCCTATTATTTTGGAAATGCTGATAATACATTGCTTTTAAAACCAAGCTATTCTTATATGCTTACTTTACACCAGAGGCGGATAATTATTTTGGGCTGAGGGCCACTTACCGAGTTTTGGCAAGCTGTCGAGGACCGCTTGGGTAGTGCCACCCCTTGACAGGTGTCCCTCCCCCTGGTCATCATCTTGTGACTGGAAGTCCAGTCCCCTAACCCCTGACCTTTGTCACCAGAAGTCCCTCCCCTTGCCCCTGGAAATACTTTTTTTAGCCAGGGGTTTTGCCATCTCAGAACCAGAAAAATACCAAATTATATTCTAAAAAGCAAACATTTACAACATTCATTCATTTAAAACAATATTTTTGCCCTGGTTTACATGTGTTTGTGCAAAGTAGCTAGAGGGCACTGCACAAAGTTTAAAATGAAGTCTTACTCTTGTATATTGTGGGAGGCATGGGGGGTGGGTATAGGTTTGTGGGGGATGTGGGTGTGTGGGAGGGTGTGGGTGTGCCTGTGGGGGTGGATAGGTGTGGAAGGTAGGTGTGGGTGGGTGTGGATTTGTGGGATGTGGGTGGATATGGGGTTTGTGGGGGAAGATGGCTGGGGTCTGTGAGGGAGTGTGAGTGTGGAGGGCTGTGTGTATGGCATTGCGAGGGGGGGAACACGTGTATGGTGGAGCGTGCATGTGGGACTTGCCCTATGAACACACACACACACCCTTCCTCATTGTACACACATGCACACAGTTTCTCCCTCCTTCATTGCTCTCTCTTGCCCCTTCCCTCATTGTACAGATGGACGCACACAATCGCACACACCCTCCCACTCCTGGCCCAGGGGTGCCAGTGCAGGCCCCATGCTCTTGTGGTCCGATGATGCGGCCAGGGGCCACATGGTGCTAGAGTGGCCAGCGGTGGGCAGGAAAGCAGTGAAAGCTGCAGTAGGCAAAGACTTCTGGTTGGGGGTTGGGCAGGGCCAGGCTGGCTTTCCGACTGAGTCCTGCCAGCTTTCCCTGGGTCCTACTGTCCCTGGCTCCTGTCATCTTTGACAGGCAGCCAGGAACAGATAAATATACATTTTCTAAATTTTTTTAGGGGCCTCATGGGCTGGATAGAATGGACTGGCAGGCTGGATGAAGCCCACTGGCAGTATTTTGCCCGCCCCTGCTTTACACTAACACTCTCCCCACCAAAGACCAATTCTCAGGATGTCCAAGACCTTTAATTAGAGACCTACTTAAATTGTGGCTTTGTGATTTTTGCAGAAACTGTGAAACACAGCAATCTCTGCAAAAAAATGGCATTGGCCACAACTTTCCAGGAAATCAACTGGGGAAAAAAAATATAATGCTGGGTCTGGGAGCCAACAGTCCTCACTGCAGGAGGGGAAGGTGCCAGCTGGTGGGGTAGTATGAAGGGCAGTGATCAAGACTGGCTGCCACCTCATGCCTCTGCCAATCAGCGCCAAGAGCAGGGCTGCATGAAGGGAAGCCAGCAGTCAAGATGGCAGCCATCCCTCCTCCCTGTGGGACCTCTCCACCAGTCAGTGCTGAAGAGCAGGGCAGACATGAAACGCCCACAAAATTGGCTCTGTGCACTGCAAGCAGATCACAAAAATTGCTTCCTCTTGCCGTAAGTTAGGTATGGCCGTACCTATAATTTTTTTCCTTTATTTACCTCTAAGGTTTATTACAGCATAACTTTCATCTTTAGGTCTTAAGAAATGATAACAAAACAGTGTCAACAGAGAATGTTCATACTATTATTTCACTGCTAGAAAGTTTTTCAAAGAATGTAGTGCATTACAATGTTGCATATAAAAACCTCGTGTTTTTCAAATTGCAACTAAAACTTGCTAGTAACAAACTTTAGTTTTTTAAATTAGTACTCTAACATTAAGATAAGCAGATGTGTGCATTATTTTGATTCTACCTGGAACTGGAATAGCTGTGGTTAAAGTTCTACTTAATCTTCATTAGGTTTGCATCTACAAGGTTCTGTGAGAACTCATAGCCGAGGTGGATCTATTACAAGAAGCAGACAGGGACTTTGATGTGCTCTGAAGAAGGATTCTTCCATCACCAGTGACTAAGTCCAGAATGTCATGAATCAGTGCTGAATCTCAGCAATGTCAAAGTTGTTTACAGAGGAACTTACAAAACATCTTTCTTTATGAAGTCTTATTTTGTATAATATTTAAAAGAAAAAAAAAGCAAAGTAACTGCCAAAGACTACAGGAGTGTAGCTAATTTCAGTTTTCCACCAGCAAACCAAGTTAGTGGATACAAATGCTTGTATTCTCAAAGGCTGCCAGCTATTCTGCCAAACTGTTGTTGAACAATTATTGCCTCAGGACTCTTTGGGCACATCCACATTTGGTTCCCTGGGGACAACTAGCAGCGGCGCACCTTGTGCTGCAGTGACTTGTCCCAGGAAATGCCTGTGCCACATGCGCTGTAGTGCATGGCAGATTGCCCTTGGTTGAGTAGGGGAGGATGGCCCCAGCAGCCTTACCTGGGGCCCTGGGAACCTCTCAGGGCTGCAGCTGCAGCAGTTCTGCCACGTGGAGCCTAGCTGGAGCGCAGCTCTGGGCAGCCCAGCTCTGCTTTTCAGTAGCAAGTGCTGCCTGAGCGTGCGCTGTACCACTTTTGTGGGGTTTTTATGACCCCTGGATACCCAGGGGTCAAAAAAACCTGTAGGAGAAAAATTCAGCGCAGCACACATTTGGGCAGTGCATCGTTGCAGCGCAGAAACACCGGACTGTGCAATATGTGGCACTGCCAACATGTTTGTGGCACCACGTACCGCAGGACCACGCTCAGCTGGGCATGCCTTTTGGGTCCAGTTGTTACAACAGTGGGACTACAGAAACAGCTATCTACTCACTAACTTAAGTAAAAGTTCTTGCACTCTCCCAGTAATATATTTATTTTTATAGCAGTCATTCAGATTTTAAAAAAATCCTCAAAGTAAGATGCCTGACAGTGTTGCTGTATCAAATATATTAGAAAATAATATATTCATTGCATGTACTGTACTACTCCCTGTTCAACTTTGTTATTCAAGTAATTTTGACAGACTTCCTGAGATAGGTACTAAAGGCTGAGTTATACATTAAGGAAGTAAATCAAAGGTAAAAAGAAAATGTTATATTTCTAAAGTGGCAGGCTTAACTGTAGTGTATTACCTTCCCTTTCTGTATTATCCATTAAAACCTTTCCACCAATGACAAAGGAGAAACTTTTCAAGGGGCATAAGCAGTCTTTTACACCAAATAATTCCAGGCAGTACTCAAAGAAATTCTTCTTTGTTTAAAATGAAATATTTTATGATGTAATGTCAGAGGATACATCTGTCGGTCTTAATTTTTTTAACAAAGTAGTGTCTGTTTCAGTATGCAGGACTTGTTCAGCTTTGCAGTTCACATCTATAAGAGATCAACATACTGGGATGTATTCAGTTGTAGTGAACACTATGGTTTAAATTAGTCTTACTTCAGTATGAAGCTTGCATTTCATGTGTAACTTTAAAATTTATAATACTGTTTAAGTAGAGATTAGCTCCAGGACTTACTTGTACTGATAAGTGCCAGGCTACAGATAAGAGACAAGGTCAGTCTTTTATTATATTTTTGGACAACAAATTATCCGGCTACCACGTGAAGATAGTTGCTGCTTTGTTAAACAAAAACTGAATCACTTTTTATATACAATTAAAAAAAAAAGTCAAAACCCTTTTTTAAGTTTCCACTGAGTTTGTAGTTTCACGCCATCACGTACAATTAAGAAAACTGGTATCTTGTCAGATAACTTTCCTGTTCTTTCCTGCAAGAAAACTGTCACTATGGGACAGAATTGATCTTTACAGGCTGAAGTTCCTGTCAAGGGAAAGATAGCCAGATTCCTGGAGAGGGAACTATTTCTCCATCTAGTTCAAGCTTTTTCTTGTTTGTTGGCTTCCACTTATTTTCTTTTTCCTTCTGTGTGAATAGAAGATAATAGAGAGAAGACTCTTGGTGAAAGATTGTATAGTTAAAAAAAAAAAAACCACAAACTGAACCAAATGAATATCCTAATTAGCCCTTTTATCCCAGAAGTCTACAAACTCAGCTGCAAGGAAACTAAAAGGCTGTGCTCTGCATCTGACCTAAAGTCCCATGAAGCAGGAGTGGGATTGAGGAAAAGCTCTTAGACTTTTTGGGACCTTTCAACAACTCTGCAATTCCTAGATCCCTAAAGATTTCATTCATTAAACCTCTCATTCTCTGATATTAATCACACAGGATACCAAAACACTTCAGAATTAGCTGAGTATGTTTATATATGTACCATGTTTATGTTAGTGCTCTGGTAGATGCATTAATTTTCTGCATGTAGTTAAACTGTAAATCCTTTTATAGCCAAAGGCACAAATAATCTTGGTTATTATACCTGTTACATGCTTTATGGAAACAAAGAAAAATAAAACTTGGTCAGGACAGTTTTATTCAGTTCATACCAAGATGTCCTCTTTTTAGAGACCAAAATAACTTTTCCATTACTCAAGGATTTGTTACAATCCACTAACACTTAAAGGCAGCCTGGAAATTTAGCCTGGATGATGTTAATGCAGCTAGTAACTTGCAGATGTAGACTAGGACCAAAAGACAAATTACAAAATCCAGTGAAGTGCAATTCAGCTTCAAAACATATACAATTCCTATATTTTGTATAGAAGGTTGACAAACATCTATTAAATGATTTCCTTGGTGAGACTTATTTTGCATTAACTGCTATAGAGGGGTAATTGCTAAAAATGCTATAATTACAATAAGGACTTAAGATAACAGCATAGAATACTGCTAGCTTCCTGAAAACTTAATCTTTACAATATATTTTAATTGAAACTTGTTAAAACTCTATTAAATTTCAGAACTAATCTTGGAAAGCTATAAGCATTTCCAACATCCTTTACTTTCCAGCAGCAAAGGCTCATAGTACATTCCTCCCCCCAGATTTTTCTTAATAATTTAATTGTAATACAGAAATTAAGTGAATACCCCTTCAAATTTGTATCGCTGCATAATATATGAATTTCTGCTGCCTTTAAAGTGTTTTTTCTTGATGAACTTATCACACGTATACTCTCACCCATTAGAATTTTCTTGGCTTCATCCATACACCTGCTTCAGGAGAACATTCTTGTATCTTACAAATATTCTATTTTGAAGAATAATGAACTACTGAGCTTTTTTAATTCCAATTTTAACTTTGTAGTACATCATGACAAGTATTAATGATCCTGAAAAACACATGATTGCAGACAAAGGACTCATAGCTATACCAGTGAAGTGACTTCTTGTCTTCATCGTTTTAATTGTTGATTTGACATCAGTGCACCCAAGGCTTCTTCAGGCCAGCTTTTGCTCCCTGACTAGCTAGGTCCTCAGCCACACCATACCAATAAGAGTCTTTAAATAAAACAAGCAAACAAAAACTGTATCATCTCCTCCCAGCTACAGGGAGGGGTTTCCTGTGGCGTGGCTTTTGTACAGCAGTCCAGCCACTCTGTGCAGCTGATGGTTGAGTCCACTGTCTGACAGTTTGCTCCCCCCCTGCTGCTCTGTCTTAGCTTTCTAAAGCTCCCAGTGATCAGCATCTGCTCTTCCTTAAGTGGACAAGCAACCCTGTTGTAGTCAGATACTGCAGTACTGTTTTTACTACTATACTTGAACCAGTTGAATGTCAGCTGTTCAAGACACTGTTCCTCTATTTTAGATAGCAAATGATGAAAACAAATTTTCAGGTTGGAGAAGTAAGGATACTGCAGGCTTTTGCAAAACCACCATTTATTTTATTAAAGCTACAGTTTCAGAAATATATTTATAAAAAACACAGAAATATCTGAAAGTAACTTGCCCTATTGAGAACTGCTGTGCAGGGACTATATATATAAAAAAAAAAGAACGGGATTAAACAAGATACTAGTTAATTACTAACGCATGTTGGTTCCCATGGCTGGACACATTAAATGCTGATTCAGGATACACTGATCCGTTTTAAAACCAGCAATCTTGCCAGTGACAGTTGGCAAGGTTTGATGTATTATACAACTCAACTACGAGCAGACATACACCTCCCAATTAGCTTAATATAAGAAAGTATTGTAATATTTGCTATCAAGAGCCTATTTAACCTTCATTACAAGTTGCCAGGGAATTTATCTACATTCGCTTCAGAGTGCATTTTGCCATATCTTTCCATCTACAAGGATTGATACATCCATATACTGACAAACTGGAAGATTGCAGATGTTTACTGAGATTGAGATGTTCTCATGTGGGCAAAAGAGGCTGGGAACTCACTGTTTATTTCTTCCCTTTCTTGAGTGACATTTTCTTTCCTCCTTTCTTAGATTTATTTCCATATTTTGCTTCTAGCTGAGCCAGAAAGTTGTCCATTTCTTTTTTCCGATTCTGATTTCTAGTCTATAAAGTAAACAAGATAACATTTTTACCAAAAAGTATTAATAGAAACAATATAAATAAAGATGCTGGGATGCATTTAGAAGGGAATATAGAAACTGTAAAAAAAAAAAAAAAAAAAAAAGATCCATGGAATTTCCTAACCAGGGATAACTTAATTTATAAGAATTAATTTGAAGATGTAAAAAGGCAGAGGCAACTAAAAAAAAAAACCCAACAAGATGGGGGGGGTGCAAGGAAGCAAGCAGAGAATTGTAAAAGTTAAAAGGTTCTCATGAGCCCCCTTTTAACAGCTCCCTTTTACATCAGAGGAGCTTTAACTCTAGCATCTTTGCCAACCTTAGCAGCATGATACAGGAACGCAGATAATTCTTCAAAAGAGTGGCTTGAAGTCACTTCTGACTTAGCTTTTTGAAGGAACCATGCCCCTGTAATTCCCCAAATGGACTTCAAGATGCTCAACACTCCTCAGAATCAGACCAACTTAGACTCTTTGACCGTGTCCAGACAAGTGTGGCCATGTGGTTATGTGCACATTCAGGCATTTCCTGTGCTGCTACCTTGCAGTGCTGGGGTGTTTGGTTTATTTTTGACCTTGAGATTCCAGGATCAAAAAAACCTCACACAGAAAAAAAAGCAGGGCAGCAGCAGGCACCACCCAAAACTAGAGCCTGGCCTGCTAGAGCCATGTTCCAGGTGCCCCAGCCCCCAGGTAAGGCAGCTGAGGCCAGCAGTTGCTGGTCCCAGCC